TCCTATTCATGATTCAAGGACTTTCTTTTCCCCTTAGAGATAAGAGTTATGCAATTTGGGAGTCTTTTAGATAGACCCACTGAAGGGGTACCCCAATTGCCTCACCCTGCATCCCTCCCTCGTCATCATGGAAGAAGCCAGAGCAGTCTGCATTCCTATTACTGGCAATTTGGGTAACCTCTTCAGAGGGTGATTGGTAAGAATAGGAGGTAGGAATTGGCTAGGCAGTTAGGGTAGAAAGACCCCAAAGAAAAGTAGCCAGTTTCTTGGCTAAAAGTCAAAATGTCCTTGGGCCTCTTAGCAACATACTCTGTTCCAAAGGCCAAAAATGTTGAAAGTATTTGGGAGCTTGTATCTAATCCTTAAAAGATTTTAGGATTACCTCTTCAGAGAGGGGAATATTAGAGTAGCCAAAATCCCCATAAAAATAAATAAATAAATCAAAGAAGAAGAAAGAATACATAAAGTTATCAGAAAAAAGTGATGGGGAGAGATGGGAGGAGTTGGAGGGGAGGGAGTGGGCATGGATTTGATCAAAACACCTTATATGCATGTATGAAATTCTCAATAATTTTTTTAAAAAGAAAAACAAAAAATAAATAAAATTTAAATTGTTTAACAAAAAAACAAAAAATATAATTGATAATCAGGCATGATGGTCGCACAGCTGTAATCTCAGAACTCAGGAAGCAGAGGCAGGAGGATCATGAATTTGATCCAATCTAGACTATACAGCGAGATCCTGTATCAAAAAAAAAAACTAAGGGTTGGGGCTGTAGCTCAGTGGTAGAGCACTTACCTAGCATGCCCCAGGCCTCAAGTTCCGTCACCCGCACCAAGCACACATATTTATTTTAAGTATATCCATGTTGTACCTTGTTAAGATCTAACTTCAAATAGATACCACCTAGACCTGAGCCCAAAGGGATAGTGTGATACTTTATTTCAGCTCCATTTGTAACTTTCTGTTTTTTTTTAAAGTTAGATTCCCTGGGAATCTTTAAAACCATGTATCTAGGTATATTTATTTTAACAAATTCTAAGTATTTTAAAATCTCTTTTTGAAAAAACAATAACTGGGGCTGGAGAGATGACTCAGTAGTTAAGAGCACTGACTCCATTCCCAGCACCTACATGGTGGCTAACAACTGTCCATAACTCTAGTTCCAGGGGATTCTACAGCTTCTTCTGTCCTCCGGGGGCACTGCATGACATGGGTGCACTTACCTACATGTAGGCAATACACACATACACACAAAATTTAAAAAAATTAAAAAATTAAAAACCAATCGCTTATCTGGACATGGTGACACACACATTTAATCCCAGCACTCAGGAGGCAGAGGCAGGTAGATCTTTGTGAGATCGAGGCCAGCCTGGTCTACATAGCAAGTTCCAGGCCAGGTGGGACTATAGGGAGACCCTGTCTCAAACAAACAAACAAACCAAAACAATAACTTAAAAGCAAAAGAAACTGTTGTGGGTGTGGAGGGGGCAGTGAAGGCACTAGGGGAATGAGTCATTGCCACACCTCAGGGGTCGCCCAGAGGACAGGAGGGAGCTCCCCAGCCTTGTTCCATTCCAGGTCAAGGGGAAGGAAGGCAAGGCGGGGTAAGAGAATAGCAAAGCTTAGGAGAGAGAAGCTCCCTAGATTGAGGTCAGGGACAACTTCATAGTGGCCTGAGCAAAGCCTTAATGGGTCGGTGGGGTGGTGGTGGGGGCCTGGGAGCAGGGAGACCTTCAGGCAGAGAGAATGGGGTTCAGAGTTGCAGGGAACAGTGGGCAGCTGGATAGGTGAGGCCAGGAAAGACTTGGGTTTCCTTCTGCATGCCACAAGAAGCCCTTGGAGGGTGGATATGCCAGTCAGGTGGCAGGATCTGATTTCACCTTAGCAGGACCTGTCTGTCCAGTGTGGGGGTAGGAGTGGTGGCCTATGAGGTGTTATTGTCATAACCCAGGTCAGATCATGGAGGACGTATCAGATGAGAATCACTGCAGGCTACTGCCCTCAGAGGTCCCTTCGACCCTCCTCAGCAGATGCAGCAGATGGAGGATGAACTACACTTCGGCATCCCCTCAGCTCTAAGCTGGGTCAGTTTGGGCAGTGCCCAACCTACCCAGCGATACAGAAGTAGCTCTGGTAAACATGATACAAAGTGGATGGATGAAAGAGAAACAAAGGGGGTGGACACTTAGGACTAGGTCGGCTGAGGGGAATTTTCCCTGGCACAGTTTCTCAACTGCTGAAGGACAGGAGCAGTCTACCATCTGGGGTTCACCTCTGAAACCTGACTGTGGAGATCAGATCTCAGCACCGTATGTCAGGGATCTACCTGCTGCCCCCTGCACCACTGGTATCAGGCCGCTGCCCCTCCTCAGGTAGAGCCCTCTGGGAGCCAGGGCCCAGGACAGAAGCAGGACAGCACTGAAGGCCAACAGCAGCCAGCCTCCCAGGAGCATTGCAGCTGAGACCTGTCGGGACAGAGGACAGGAATGGTGGGGCAGAGAAGGACGGGGGGTGATCCCTCTGCCTACTGCCCAGTGAGTCCTCAAAATGTCCTCAACCACCTGTGCCATTATTATAATCTCCATTTTTCCTATAAACAGAGGTCCAGAGATGCCAAACCTTTTGCCTCAGAACAGAAATAAGTTAATCAAATAAGCAAAATCAGGATCCAGGCTGAGGGACCAGCATACCCCTCCTTTACGCAGTACTTCTTAGGGTCACCAGAAGCATGAACTGAGTGCTGCATTGGCACCTTTGCGTTCAGTTTTGGAAGGCTGTATACTCTTCCTCACAGGTGCTAGACTAAGCATCCATCCTCCCATCCTTTCCACTGCTCACTTGATGATGTGCATCATCATGATGGCTTGAGCACCTTATCTTTCATGGCAGAGCTCAGAGGATAGCTTGGGAGGAGTTCACAGGTTTCACATAGCACAACCCCTAGAAGACACGTCTGGGGTCATCCCCGATTTGCATACTGATGACAGTGATTTTCCACCAGATGGCAGTACAGTGTCTTTTCCTGGCTTGCACAAAGGTGCTATAGAGGCTGAAAGCCTTGTCTAGATGGAAGTCACACCCCAAATCCACAGTCAGCAGCTCAGAGGTGTAGCCCAGAACTCTTTGTGCAAGGTTCCTGTGCTGAATAGCTTTAGCTGTCAACTTGACACACCTGGGTAGAGGAAGAATTGCCTCCACTGGACTGGTCTGTGGCAATGTCTGTGGGGCATTTTCTTGATTTTTGAGTGATGGAGGGGGGTTGCCCAACTTACTGTGGATGGTGCCACCCCTGGGCAAGTGGGCCTGTGTTGTATAAGAAAGCAGGCTGAGCATGGACCAAAGGAGCAAGCCAGTAAGCACCATTCCTCCATGGCCTGTGCTCCAGCTCCTGGCTCCAGGTGCCTGCCCTGAATTCCTACCTTGGGCTCTCTCAGTGATGAACTGTGACCCAGGAGATGTAAGACGAATAAACCCTTTCATCCCCAAGTTGGTATTGGTCAGAGTGTTTTGTCACAACAATGGAGAAACAAACTAGAACAGTTCCTCATGTGTTTCTTAAGTGTTGTCTGGTTCAAGACCCTGTGTGCTCTGACACTGGGACACCTGGGTGGTCAGCAAAGGCCCCCAGACCCCATTCCTCAGGAGCCAGCATCTCTGCCCTGGTGGCTGGAGGAGGTTGTGTCTTACCTTCCAGGTCAGGCTGGGAATGTCCTCCAGGGACCTGAAGGTCACACAGCTGTGGTTCCAGCTGTCACCCTGCAGCCAGGAACAGTAGGTAAAGATGCCATAGGAGAAGGTGGGGCTCTGGAACCAGGCAGGGGAGAGGAGGCTGAGGCTGGACATGCAGGTGAGGGAGAGCCCAAGAACTGCCCTCACACCACCCTCCATCAGGAGTGTAGCTGACCTATGGGTCAAAGCAAGGTGAGAAGTGATGAGGGTAGAGACAGGCAGCCCTAGCCAGGGACCCGGTCCTGTGGTGAGAGCCCCGGTCAGCAGCCCCTTCTGCCTGGTGACACCAGTGTCCAGCACAGGTCAGAAGTGAGGACATTGCTCCAGTAAGTTCTAGAAAAGGGACTTCCAAGGTCAAGAATAATGCTGGCAATAAAAGAAACCTTTGCACACAGCCCAAGCCCCTCTTCCAAGGGCCCCACTAGGTTCATTCATTCATTCATTCATTCATTCATTTCTTTGGCAGTCCAGCATGCCTCATGTAATGGTTAATCTTGACTACCAACCTGACAGGATCAAGAATCAGTAGAAGGGACAAGTCTCTGACCATGCCTTGAAGGAGTATATGGATTAGGTTAACTGAGGATGGAAGACCTACCTGAATGTGGCACCATCCCATGGGCTGGGGTCCAGACTGAATGAAAAGAAGAAAGAAGGATCTGGAGAGATGGCTAATTGGTTAAGAGCACTGGCTGCTCTTGCAGAGGACCTGGGTTTGATTTCCAGCACCCACATGGCAGCTAAAAACCATCTGTAACTCTAGTTCCAGGGGATCCGAAGCCCTCTTCTGATCGCTGTGGGCATTGCATGACACACATGCAGACAACACACTCATACACATAAAATTTAAAAAAATTTAAATATATAAAAAGAAAAGAAAGAGGAGAACGCAAACTGAGAGGAGCACAAGCTCAGCACCGCTCTCTCTGCTTCCTGACTGTGGATGCCACGTGACCAGCTGCCTCTGCTTCTACCCCCATGACTTTCCTGCCATGACTGTGTTCCCTCAAATTGTGAGCCAGAATAAACCCTCCCTTCCTTCAACTGCCTCTTGTCAGATATTTGACCTCAGCAACAAGAAAAGTAGCTAGCATGCCTCCCTGTCCAAAAGGCTCTTAAGCCCCACACACCTATACGGGGCTTCTGATAGCTGCCCCACTCACTGGCTAACTCCCTCCATCAGTGGGCATGTTCCCTGTTCCATGTGGGCGATAGGGTCTGCGGGGTTGACTGGCAGCTGGTGTGGTGTAGTGCAGTGTGCATTGGCCATATTCGGTCCCTAAAAGAATCCTTGAGAGAATTTAGGAATGTGGACACATGGTCTTACCAACTGTTCTAGGTATTGGGCACTGTCTTAGTCCACTTACTGTCACTCTAAACAGAATGCTGCAGATAGGGTCATTTATAAAGAAAGAAGTTCGTTCAGTTCATTGTGGTATTGGAGGTTGGGAAAACCAAGAGCACAACTTGTGGCATCTGCTGGTGAGGGTTTTGAACAGTGTCAGATGTGGTGGAAAGCATCCTGCACCAGCTCCTATCTCTCTTTTCTTCACTTTTTAAAATTATTATTTTGAGGTGTGCCTGTGTGTATGTATATGTGCATTTACATTTGTGTATATACATATGGAGACCAGAGAACAACTTTAGGTATCATTCCTCAGGGGCCATCCACCTCGTATTTTCAGACAAGGTCGCTCCCTGAGACCTGGAGCTTACAAGTTCAGCTAGGTTGACAAATCATTGAGCCCCAGGGATCCACTATCTCTCTGCCTCCCCAGTGCTGGGATTACAAGCACACACTACCATGCCCAGCTTTTTTGTGTGTGTGTGGGTGTTGGGAATCAAACTCAAGTCCTCATCTTTACTGAGTCTCCCTGGCCCTCTCTTTCTCTTCTTACAAAACCATTACCTCTCATGGGGCTGGAGAGATGCTCAGTGGTTAAGAGCACTGGCTACTCTTGCAGAGGACCCAGGTTCAATTCCCAGCACTCACGTGGTGGCTAACAACGGTCCCTAACTCCAGTTCCAGGGGATCTGACACCCTCTTCTGACCTCCTCATACATTGCACTAATACACATAAAAGGAAAAAAAAAAAGCCATTACCTCTCATAGGGGCCCTGCCCTGGTGACCTCACCTATCCTTCCCTATGTCCCCAAGACCCTGCCTCCAGATAACGTCAACATAGCATTTAAGGATCCTAATGCATAAACTTTAGGGAAACACTCAAATCATGGTAATCTTAATACCAGTTTTTAAAAGAATTTTTTTTTTTTTTTAAAAAAAGCAAGGGACTAAAATAGAGTCTTAGAGCCTTACCTAAGCAATGGTGGAGGTGGCAGACTCACAGCCCAAGCTCGGGGGAGGCTTGCTCTGGTTGGCAGAAGCCCTAGTTTGTTCAAGAGCTCTCAGTATCCAAGTGGGACCTGCCAGTCAAGCAGAGGGCAGCCTTGCAAATGTCCTGGGACTATGGCTGCAGAACATTGGTGTTCTCAAAGCCGGGTCAGCTTTAAACATGGCAGGAACCCTCGGCTCTCACCTGGTACCTGGGGCAAGATGGCCCATGGCTGTAGGCCTCAGTTTCTCCATGTGTATAAGAACACTATGGCGGGGTGTGGTGGCGCACGCCTTTAATCCCAGCACTAGGGATGCAAAGGCAGGCAGATCTCTGTGAGTTCAAGGTCAGCCTGGTCTACATAGTAAGTCCCAGGACAGCTGGGGCTACAGGGAGACCCTGTCTCAAAAAGATTAAAACAAACAAACAAAGAACACTATGAATCCCGGCAGACAAGTGATGCTGATTCAGTTGAGGTGGAGACAAGACCTTCCCCTTCCTAGGTGTCTGAACTTGGGGATCTGCCTCCAGTCTGGGAAAGTGGGGGAGGGGAAGGGAGGTTGCTGTAGCATCACATGGGAGGTACAGGGATCTGCCTGGAAGGGAGGGCCAGGGTCAAGCTGCCAGATCTTTCCACTCTGGGATTGGAACCCCCTGGAGCTGCTTGCCAGCAAGTGAGCAGTTGTCCCTTGAGTGAGGACTTATATTTTCCCTTCACTAAACCCCACAGTTCCTTTGGGTTGGCTGATCTCAGGGCTGTAATTCTAAACCAAAAGACTGGGGAGCCTAGGCCAGGGAGGGGGGGAGGGGGGATTTGCCTCTGGGCCCTGGAGGTTTCTGGCCTTGAAAAGACTCTTAGATAAGACTCGTGTCACCTGGAAAAATCATAGAAACTGAGCAGGTGCCCAGAAAGCTAACCAAGGCTTTACAACCCCAAATCAGGTCTGGTCAGGCTCCAATTAGGGGATCGACCTGCAGGGAACCGGAAAGAGACTGATTGCTTTCTTCTCTGCCTAGAGCTGACTTTTTAATTTAATTTCGATCTATTTTTTGTGGGGGGCCTGCCACAGTGTGCATGTGGAGGTCAGAGAACAACGTGAAGGAATTGGCTCTCTCCTCCATCGTGTGGGTCTGGGGATTGAATGCCAGTCTTCTGGTTTGAGGGCAAGTGGCTTTGCCTACTGAGCCATCTTGTCACCTCTTAGAGCTGAACTTTTAAAATTTATTTATTATTTTATGTGAAGGGGTGTTATGCCTGCATGTGTGTAAGTGCACCCGTGTCGTGCAGTGCCAGCGGAGGACAGAAAAGGGTGTCAGATTCCCTAGAACTGGAGTTACGGGCAGTTGTTAGCTACCATGTGGGTGCTGGGATTCAAACCTGGGTCTTCTGCAAGAGCAGCCAGTGTTCTTAACCACTGAGCCATCTCTCCAGTCCTAGAGCTGAACCTTTAACTGCAGCCAGTTTCCTATAGCTCTGTGAGGCCCATGCTAAACCCTTTTAGCGCCTTAGTTTAAGAAACTGGTGAGAGTTGCTGTTCTCATCTGTACTGTTCACAGGTAGCGGAGCTCAGGCTCAGGAACTGGATAGTGGAGGGGCTTAGACTCAAACTTAGGGAACCAGGATTCTGCCTCTCAGCTGGAAGCCCATGGGAGTCCTAAGGGTTTAATTAAAATGCCAGACATCCCTACGACGTCATGACTGCCCAGCATCTGTTAGAGCATCAGCAACTGTTCCAACTGCTCCTGCCAGGGAACAAGAATGATTCTGAAAGAGCCAAGATTAGCCACAAAGACCCTCAGGATGGGGGGTGGGGTGGGGGTGGGGCACAGAGGTGGTAGCTGGGGGCTTTGAGGGGAGCTAAATTTTATTCTTTCCCCGACCTTCACATCCTCATTTGTAAACTGAAGGCACTGGATCACCATTCAACTATTATATGCAGTGCCACCCCCCCCCCGCCCCACCGTCACCTCCACAGAATACAGTGGGGAACACAACATAGTCTCTTTGTTTCAGGAGCTTAGAGTTTTATGAGCAAGACAGAGTCACAGGACATACCAATATGGTTCATCTATCCATCCACCCACCAATCTATCCACTAATCCATCCATTTATTCATCTATCTATTATTCATCAACCCATCCATCCATCCATTCATTCGTCAGACTACCCATCAGCAATCAGGACAGCATAAGTGATTGAGTGTGAGGCTATGGGAACCGAGCCGTATGCTGTGCCAACTTCTTGATCAGCAGACATGGGTACAGCTGCATGGGGCAAGGTAGGGCAGCACAAAAGAAGGGAACTGAGTCAACCAGAGGTCAGGGGCTGCCTGGGTAAGAACTGAGGATGGGCCTTTGAGGCCAGAGGCCAAAGGAGTAGGCCAGTAAAGCAGCATTCCTCCATGGTCTGTGCTTCAGTTCCTGCCACCAGCTTCCTGCCCTGCTTCCCTCAAAGATGGACTGTGCCTTGGAAGTGTAAGGGGAAAATAAACCCTTTCCTCTCCAAGTTGGTTTTGATGTTTTTATCACAGCAATAGAAGTAGCTAGAACAGGTTCCTTTAAAAATAGGATATAAAACAGTGGATGTGTCCCTCTCCGACAGCCCCCTGAGGGTTGTTAGGGCCCCTGAGCAATGCCTGAGGCCAGCCCAGCTTCCTTCCTTCCTGCCCGTCCTCACCTCAGAGACTCTTCTGTCCAGGATCCCCACACTTTGGTTTGGGTCAAGTCTTGTTAACGTGGCCTCCCCAGATTCAGTTTTAGCTTTTAATGTACGGCTATGATCTTGTAAAAAGGTCTCTGTCTCTTTAAAGGGCATGTTCAGGTTGGTGAATGAATCTGGCTCACGTGATGAGAAGGGTGTGTGCAGGTGTGTTTTCCTTCCTAGTTCCTGAAATCAATAGCCTTTCATTCTGGGCAGCTGATGGGCCGCACAAAGAGGGAAATTCCATATTAGGAAGGGGTGCGAGGGGTGGGGTCTCCTGGGTGGGAGAAAGCACAAGTAATCCTAACTGGTCTATGCTAAATACTGAGGAGTTCTACATCTTTAAACGACAGAAATGCAATCCAAAGAGGCTCAAGCAGAAATGAGAACTGTATTGACTCATTACTGAAAAACTATGAAGCAGCTTCAGGCACAGTGAGGTCCAGGTAAATAAGCACTCTCAATCTGTCCCTCTCTCAGGAGGTGTCATGGAAAAGCTCACATAACAGGGGGGTGCACACCAGTTGGCCTCATCAGAAGCAGGGGATCCCCAAATTAAGTGCAGAAGACCTCTGAGGGTGTCCAGTGTGCAGCCTTGGTTGAGGGTCTCTTGGGCCCTAGTTTCTCCTGTAAAATAAGAGCATCCGGTGGAGTCTGGGGCTACCCAGGTCTCTTCCTAGCTTCTTCAACCACACACATCCACTTCCTTTTCTAAAGAAATCAGTATTTGCTACAGGGCTTTGGGAGCGTTTTGACCCAGATCTGATGTTACTAGCTGGATCTGGCTTGACTGATGCATATATTTTTTTGCAGATGTACTGGGCTCTGTCCTTCTGGAGCACCCAGCAGTGCTGGGGACTTCCCAACCTCCAGGCTTCTCCCTGCAGGCATCCTGGGTCAAGTGCCTCAGCAGCCACTTGGCCAGCTATAGCTAAGCCTGCAGTGATGTGGCTGGATGGTGGCCCAGCAGCCTCCCACGCCGACCCCACCAAGATCCCAGGGAAGGCATCTCTGACCCTTGCCTCCCAGATGGGGCTCTGAGCAGGCACCTGGCTACCCGGGACCGCTGGAAGCCGCCACCACAAGCACCAAACCTCAACTCCTAGAAGTCTTCCTGGCTCCGCAGGCAGCTAGGGGTCTCTGATCTCAGCAGCTAATGTAGATCCGAGAGGCAGGCGCCAGCAGATGGCGCCCTCGCGCCCACCTACCTGCAGTGGGCTGCTTCATTGTGTGGAACTTAAGTGATGGAATTTCTGGCTGAGATGTGGACATCTTTGCCAATCCTATAGGGCATTTCTTGAATCTGCCAAAGATTCTGGCTGTGTGACTTTGAGGCAGCAGTCTACCTAACCTCTCTGAGCTCAGCCCCATCATCTGTAAGAGGAAGGGAATGCTACATTTTCAATGAGATTGCACGGGCATACACACCTGGCTTAATAAGCAGCTAATGCCATTACTATCATTGTTACCGGGAGTAGAGGGGCCCCTTTGGGGGCTCTTAGCCTATGAGATAATAGCACTTAGAAGTAGAACCAGAAGGAACTTGGGGACAACTTTATTGGAGTCTGAGAGAAAAGGCAACAGGGCAGGCAAGCTGGAGATCTGGCAGCTGCCTGTAGGAGGAACGTGACGACAGGGCCATGCTTTGGGAGTCAGAAATCAGGAAAGCAGGCAGGCTCAGGGATGGAGGTCTGAAGAGAGAGTGGGGTGCCTGGATCACCAGGGCAAGCAGGCTTAGGATTTTGGCTGGTGTCTGAAAAAGGAAGACAGAGAAAAAAGGAGTTATGCTTTTAAAGTTGGAACTCAGAAAGTGGTCAAGCTTCACATTAAGGGTCTGTGAATGACTGCGGGGGGGTACTGTAAGGAGGATGGGGGGCTTACATGGGAAGGAGTGCTGTATGGAAGGGGGCCTGCGTGGAGGGGGCTGCATGAGGAGGAATTTGCATAGACAGGTCTGCATGGAGGGGTGGCTTCTGGGTGCTGTAGGTGTGTATCCCACTCAGGGGAGATTTTCTCCTCTCATCTTTGTTTTATTTCATGTTGAACAAGGTCTCGTGTACCCCAGGCTGCCTTTGAATTCTAAGAAGCAAAAGGTGGCCTTGGATTTCTGATCCTCCTGCCTCTACCCCAAGTGCTGAGTTAGAGATGTGTGCCACCATGCCCAGTTTTATGCAGTGCCTGGGACTGAACTCAGGGTTCTGTGCATGGCAGGAAAGTACTCTCTCCACCGACCCATGTCCCCAGCCTTCTTCCCATCATTTCAACATATGTTCAGGTGCATATCACTTTTCTTGGAGGAAAAGCTCTTGGGGGGGGGGGCGGTTCCTGTTCAAGTAATTGGGATTAGCACTACAAATGTGTTTTGTAATTGCATAACATTGTGGGCAGTTTAGTCTCCACCCAGGATTAGAGGTACGACTTGGTTCCCTTCCTTTTGTCCAAGAAAACTGTGTAAGAATAGGTAGGTTTAAGAGTCAGACGTGGTGGTGTATGCCTTTAATCCCAACACTAGGGGGGCAGAGGCAGGCAGATTTCTATGAGTTCTAAGCCAGTCTGGTCTACATAGTGAGTTCCAGACCAGTCAGGGCTACATAGTGAGACCCTATCTCAAAAAACAAAAGAGAAACAAATAAAACAAAACAACAACAAAAACCCCAAAACAAAACCTAGAACAAAACCAAACAACCAAAGAAAAGCGGCATGTGAAGCGAAGGGGGTGGAGCTCAGCTGGTAGAGTGTCTGCTATGCAGGCAGGAAGCCTGGGTCAGGCCTCAGCACCATTACTGGGCATGGTGTCTCAGGGCTGTAGCACTAAGAGGGTAGAAACAGGAGGATCAGAAATTCAAGATCAGCTACAAAGTGAGTTCAAGCCCTTATCTTAAAAAAAAAAAAAAAAAAAAGACTTTTGCCATCAAAAAGAAGGTGAGTTACAAGGGCAGCAGCAAAGATGCTTGGACAAAACCAGGTGGTGGCTCATGCCTGTAATCCCAGAACTTGAGAGGCTGAGGTAGGAGGATTGCCATTAGTTCCTGCCAATAAAACAGGAGACAAGAATGCCTGAAAACTGGCCCTTCCAGGCAGCTCTGTGCTGATCGGTAAGGCAGATGAAGCCACACAGGCTATCTAAATTGAAATGAAACACAATATAATACTATGTATTCAGTCCCACTAGCCACCTATGCTGTAGAATCTCCCTTATTCCAGCAAGTGCTATTGGACAGAGCTGCTGAGAGTCTGGGACCTGGTGCCTAATCCCTGCCAGCTTCTTGGAGAAGGCAGAAGATGGCAGAGGTGATTCTGGCATAGTCCCTGGGGAGCACTGTCCTCTGTCCACCAGGAGAGGAGAGCCAGGGCCTGGGTGCTGGTTCTGGGAGTGATTTGGAACCTGACACTCCTGGCTCAGGGTACAATCCCTGGGTGTGTATGGATAGCAGCCAGGCACCTGGCCAAAGGACAAGGGATGCAGGGGAAGGCAACTAAGGTCGGGCCCAACCCCTGACTCCCAGGAAGTCCTGGCTCATGAGGACCAAGACACTGGGAGTTGTAGTTTCATTACCTGGGACTTTTTCCCCCTTCGTGGCTTGAGTGACAGGCAGAATGGGGATGGTGGTAGTCACAATGGGAGACATGTCTGGGGTAGGGGTCTGTGGGGTTGTCAGGAGGAACACTGTCTTGTCACCTTCCATGTTTATATTCTGGGGCTGAGGGGAGCTGTCAGGCAGACAGGCAGACAGGACCCTGTTGGCTGAGGACTTGAGAATCATGGACATTTATAGAAGTGTCCTGTTGCATATCTGGTATGTAGAGATTTGCACAGGAAAGATGGAAGCTTCCTGAAGGAAGAAGCTTCTGGAAGAGATGTGGCACGTTGTGAGGTACCACAGATTTAGTCATTCATGCCTCTGCCCTGTTCACTGAGCACTACTATGTCCCTGAACTTGACACAGGGAACCAGGAGAGCATCCAAGTCCCTTCCTGAAGGTTCTGTAGAGAGAGGAGTGGGCATAATTTTTAAAATAACACACAGTCCATATTAAAGGCCTCCTTTAAGGAAGACTTTGAGGGAATTCATATTGTGAACCAACAATTCTGTCTTCTGCCTCAAAGATCTTCAAGGGGAAGTGGCTCTTCAAGGGGAAGTGGCAGTTGCCAGTTGCCTGGAGGGGGTACAGTTAATGACTGCCCATGGCATCCAGATGTCCAAGGATGGAACTGCTACCCACCACTTGGGGTTCTGTCACTGTGGGTAAGTCCCCAGGGGCCTCAGATGTCAATCCCTTCTTCAAAAAGTCAAAATGTGAATAGGATGAGCTCTCTCTCTCTCTCTCTCTCTCTCTCTCTCTCTCTCTCTCATTTGAGGCAAAGATGAGTCAGGAGAATGTTGGGCAGTTTTCTGGGAGCCACACTGTGGTGCTTATGTCTGTCTGTCCTTTTTAAAAAAATATTTTATTTTTATTTTATGTATATGAGTGTATTGCCTGCATAAATGCACTGTACTGTACAATGTCTGAAGAGTGTGCAGATCCTCTGGAACTGCAGTTATGGTTGTTAGCCACCTTGTGGTTACTGGGACTCAAACCTGGATCATCGGCAAGAATGGCCAGCACTCTTAACCGCTGAGCCATCTCCAGCCCCTGTCCTCTCTTCTTGAGGTCTGGTCAGTTTACAATAAAGGCACAAACATGTCCCATTGCTCATGCTGGGCAACTTCCCCCAGGAGCATGTGTGCTTCGGAAAGCATAGTGGCTGGGTAGGGTGTCCAGTGAGGTGGTTCCAGCTACTCGGGGAAGGAAAGGGGCTGAGGCAGAACTGATTGAACCTAGGGGCTCAAGCCTGGGCAACAAAGTAGGACCTGATAGAAGGAAAGAAGGAAAGAAAAGAAAGGGAGGGAGCGAAGAAAGGGAAAAAAGAAAGATGTTGTACGTATGTCTAATGAAGGTGGCAGAATGGGTATGTTCACTGGTGGGGACAGCTTCAATTCTCTCAACTCATCGGCAGTTCTCAAGCCATCACCTGCTCCGCCAGCAGGCAGCAGGGACCAGTGGCAGGCACCAAAGACTAGCGGGGATCAGAGGCCAGCAGCAGACATCAGGAGCCAGCGGACAGGAGGGGCCAGCAACAGGCAGCAAGGGCCAGGGGACATCAGGGGCTGGAGGGCACCAGGGCCCAGCGAGGACCAGGGGCCTGGCCCCCAGCAGGCCGCCTGCGGACAGCGCAGTGCAGTTCCTAGTCTGTCCAGCAGAGGACGCGCTCCGCACAGCGTTGCCGGGTCCTCCCACTTCCCAGCGCCCCGGCCGCAGCGGCTGGAACGGAACGGGACAGGCTCCGGGGACACGACGCGGTCAGGGCGGGGGTGGGGCGCCGGCTTCGGGCCGAGGTCCGGACGTCGCCCTGGGCGGAGACAAACAGCGGCGTCCCAGGACCCCGGCGTCCGCGAGAGGGCGGAGTCGGAAGGCTGTGCTCCGCCCCGGGCCTTTGTGCGCAGGCGCTGCCGGGCGCAGTTGCCATGGTGACGGGGCGCTTCCCGCCCGAGCCCCGCCCCCAGCAGGAAAGGCTGCGCGCGCCGCGGCAGGTGCTGCGGGCAGGTGGCGGCGCGTCGAGCGGCTGTGGTAGGTGCTGCGGACGCGGGGATGCGGTGGGTCTCGGGTGCGCGCGTGGGGACGCGCGGGGACGCCAGGCTCCTGCCCCGATGGCCGGGAGAAAAGTTGGCAAAGTTGGCGCAGGAAGAGGCGGGGACGCGCGGACCAGGGCTGCGGGAAGGGAGGCCGCCGCGTGGGAACCGCAGATCCGCCGGTGGGATGATTCCATGGCTGTGGACCCAGGACTCGGTGCCCGAAGGGGATCGGGTGCCAGCGGCCTGCGTCCTCCCTCCCCCACCGAATCTGTGGCCGGGGAGTGACGGCGGAGGCAGGCTCGGGGACCCAGAGCGGGACCCGCTCCCCACGCGCGTCCGCGGCTCCCCGTGGATGGGGATTGCTGGTGTCCGGGCGCCGCGCGGTGGAGGCCCGGCGTGCCTAGAGCTCCGGGTCGGGCCTTGGACGCAGAGCCTGCCCTCTCCACAACCCTGAGAGCCCGGGGCGCCCCGCCGGCCCCACTGAACTTTCTCTTGCCAGGACCAGCCCTGTGCTTTTGGACGGAGACGGCGCCTGTTGCACAAAGAAAAAAAAGGATTTTTTTTTGAAGCTTCTTTGTAATCTTCTGCGAAACACTTAACCAGTTGGAGCTCCCGTTTCTCCCCTGGACAAAATGGGGAGGAGTGGGGTGTCGCAGCGCGCTCCTCTGGGGCGGGCGGGGTTAGGCAGCGCCCTCCGGCCCCCTTCCCTTACAGTATCTTCTTTAGCTGCTATTACAAAGACATTTAACTTGGACTTTCTTCCAAAAGCGTGAGTTTGCCACTCCAGGCCGGCTCACAGAGAAGCGCTGGGGTCGGCTAATCAGTAACCAGGACATTTGGACAAGGCTTCCACCTGGCCAACCTTCCCTCTGACAGTCCAGCGAGGGTCCCCTCCAGACGCACTCAGGGCAGCCCGTGGCGAGGCTGGGCTCCAAAGGGAGCCGCAGACACAAGCACTGGTTTTGGTGGGGCTGAGGGATTAGACAGTTGACAGAAGTGCCAGTTCCCTACCTAGTGTCCGGGCATGTTCCTGCGCTGCCTGCAGCTCCCTGCCTGTGTGCACCAGCAGCCACTGGGTACTTGGGAGTCACTGTAGACTGGCCAAGAGCGGTTCAGAATACTCCCCGGGGTGAGACAGCCTAGCTGCAGAGCAGTCAACCTGCCCTGCTGGCTTTCCTGAGTTATCGTGGAGGTGCAGTCCTCACCCCAGATTCTAAACTAGACCCTCTTTCCCCAGGGCGTCCCCAGGCCTGGTCTTACCCAATCTCACCTTATCTGGAGAATGAAGGGCACAGTTGTCCACCTTCTGTCCAACCAACCCAGACCTTGAACCTGGGAATATCATCTGTGTCAATTCAGCATTCATTCATGTGTTCGTTTGTTCATTTGTATGTTTATTTGTTCATTCAACAAACAGCACAAGACACTGGGTCAAAGACAAGGCTGGCAGTTATATCCTGAGGGGGCAGATCCTTGGTCTGGAAGGACTTGGGACCAGAAGGGGATGGAGTTTTTTTCCTATGACTTGTGAGTGGGCAGAGGTGGCTACCAGGGAAAGATGAACAGTTTGTGCAAAGGCCCTGGGGCAGCGGGAGTGTAGAGTGCTGGCTAGTCCAGGCTGTTTAGTGGCTTAGACTTTCTACCTGAGTAGGGGGCAGGTGTTCTGCTGTTAGTCACCCTGGCCAGCATAGGGAGGGTCAGCCAAGGAGGCCAGGACCAGCAAGAGGTGCTAGAGGAACCCAGGTGCACTGGACATAGATACAGAACAGTGGCGTGGAGGGAGCTGACTTGGGACTCTGGACAGTGTTCTGTTGAAGCCACTTATCCGGAAGACCCCTTCCTCACCATGTGAGTGACAGTCAGTCTGGAGACGTCTCCCTTTGGGGAGTGACCTACGTATACCATGTGCCATGCTTACATCAGTTGAGCAAAGCCCCCGGTGCTTCCAGCCCAGGATGCTTGTTAGGTCTGGAGAGCTGGGGGAGGCCCAGGGGTGGGTGGACAGTGCCCCACCCCTGTGATGAAGGGGGCCTCTTTCACAGATGCAGGCTGGGTGGCTGGATCAGGTCTCTGCCAGTCCCTCTGCAGCACAGCCAGGCTCAAAAGTGCTCCAGGCTTGCACTTGCTGGATTTTGGAGTCATGAGGTCCAATAGCCAGAAAAGTACCAGGGGCTTTTGGGAGGAGGCAGGGGAGGAAGGAGGGGCTGGCCAGGGAGACTTGGGAGCAGCCTTCCTGACTCTTTTTTCTTTTTTACATTTGATTGCTTATTTGGGGGTGGGTGGGGGACGTGTGCCATAGCCCTTATTTGGAGGTCAGAGGACAAAGTATGGAAGTTGGTTTTCTCCTTCCACGGTGTAGGCCCTTGGATTGAACTCAAGTTACTAGGCTTGGCAGCAAATGCGTTTGCCCACTGAGCCATTTCACTGGCCCATGGCACTTCTTTCTTATCTGTAAAATGGGCTGATAGGATCTTCCCCTCCTTCAAAGGGTGGTTGTGGGGGTTGGTGAGTCAGGACATGGGGAGTGTCAGGTTTGACTGTGTGTGCTCAGGGAGTGGGAAGATTATTGTCATGATAGCTGTCATCAGATGAGTTCTAGCTAGGCAGGGTATGTGTTTGTGTGTGTGTGTGTGTGTGTGTGTGTGTGTGTGAGAGAGAGAGAGAGAGAGAGAGAGAGAGAGAGAGAGAGTGAGTGCAAAGGTGACATGGGCCACGTCTTGAGGGCTGAGTGGAAGGCGTGAATAGTTGTTTCTGCTCATGGTAGAGTGTAGGGTGTGTTGAATGAATAAAAGACCTTTGGCTACAAAACTTCTCTTTTGCTGCTCTGCCGCTCTGCCTTACAAGGTTTGGGACACGGGTGGGGACACACACACACACACACACACACACTCATCCCTGTCTAGGAGTGCACACCTACTTCAGACTGTAAGAGTGTGAGTGTAGACCATCCAGCTGCCTCTCCAAACTTTGTTCAGGCTCTTCCTCTGTCACAGGTTTGGGTTGAGAATGTAGGTAAAGCTGGACACACGCTTGGTGTAGGAGCTGGGTTGAGTCCTTGCTCTCCCCCATTCTTCATGACAGTCTGTAGCAGTGCTTGCTTTGGCCACCCCCTCATGAGCCATTCATGAAACAGAAGCTTTGAATGATCCCACAGCTGGGAAGTACAGAAATCAGGATCTGAACTCAGAACTGGCTGTTTAAAGCAACATACCCCTCAACTCTCTGTGTCCCCTGCATGGATGTGGGGCTTCCACTCCCCTTCTCCCCACCCCCTGATGTTGCTGGCACTGGAGAGGGATCTAGATACTGTTTGAGTGGAGACACATGGACATGGATAATTTTTCTCCCACAAGATGAATATTTCATGGAGCATCTTACACAGGAGAGTCCCTGGGCTGGAGAAGGGCTCAGAGGATTCTCTGTCCCCAGGAGCCCTCCAGTCAGCTGTTCAGGTCACGGGACTCGAGTCAGGAAGTAACAGGGACTTGACTTTGGGCAGGAGTTATCACTGCCCTTGTTAATTGCCCAGTTAAGTGACCTTAGAAATGTTTTATAGCTGTGTCTCCATTGAAAATAGAACTATGTTTTCAAAATGCAGTCTTTGATTGTTTACATCCCTGAGTCAGCCACAATAAGCTCCCGTCAGAACAGTGATGCAGTGTGCCTTGTGAAACAGCGTATGGCCCAAACTCTTTAAAGAGGCAACCGGATAGTCACTAAGTCAAAAGTGAGTGACCACCCACAGATGCCCAATGAACTTCTCAGAGGGCCAACAGTTCTTCTTGACCCTTCCAAGGTTTTAAGCACACATAGACTATTTAATTTCCTCCCGAGCCTCTATTATACATTGCTGATTATCAGTTACTTTCAGATCCACTGAGCAGCCAGAGGGATGGAGTTAAATCCTGACTCTGCTGTATATCCACTGTGTGACCTTGAGCAGATAACTTGGCCTCTCTGAGCCAAGTTATTTTTCACTCCTTTGTAAATCTGTATAGTAATGGGACTTACCTCCAAGGGTCACTGTGAGCGGTACATAGTACACCTTGGCAAATGGCATGTGTCTGTGTGTGTTGGTTCTAACTGACCCAGAGAAGGCACTCAGTAAATAGTTGGGGGACCAAAAAAATGACTCCATATATGTGGGTATAATGTTTTAATAATGACTAGCAACAAAATAAAGAATTCTATAAGACACTTTTGGACACTTCTCATTTGAGAATGTATTGATTTACCTAACTCTTTTAAAAAGCTGAAAGTGTGCAAGTTATTTAATCGACCCCCTGCGGATGGACAGTGCTATGGCTGGCTGGTCCGTTGGTCTTTGTCACCCAGCGCTGCAGTGAGCATCCTTGTTGGTGCATCCACATCCCCTGCATCCAGGCAGAACACAGAGTCCAGGAGGTGGAAGGAGGAACAGGAAGGAATTAGAGTGGTGATCTAGCCTGCCAAGGAGCTCCAACATGAGTACCAAGGTTGTTGGAGAGAAGCTGTGTATTTCTTAGAGGGTGGCTGTGTCTAATCTGTGGCCACAGGTTGTAGCAGGGAACCCGACTGTTGGGAAGGTAAGCATTCTTGCAGGCTTCATGGTGTTTTGCAGCCTTTGGATTTGAACCCAACCTGCCAGAGTGCACCTTGGAAGACATTTGCTTATGAATGGGCAAGTCTTTCTCAAAATACTTGGTTCCTGTATTAGTTTGCTTTTTCTGATGGTGCTGTGTAATAAGCATCTCCCAAATCAGTGACCTGTAACAGCAGATGTTTTGCACTTGTGCCAGCAGGTGGCTAGGCCGATCTTGGCTGATTTGTCTAGATCAGTTCCCCTGGCCAACAGCAGCAGCTGGGTGTGCTCTTCTGAGGGGCAGCAGCAGGTGTGCGGGAGCTTGGTGGGAAATGGGGTTCTAAGAGACTCAGGTAGAACTGCTAAGGCAAGGTGTTGCTTCTGCCGTCATCCCATGAGCCACTACAGGTCATGTGATCATGCCCCATCAGTGA